GCTCCAGGCCGGCGCACTGGGGCGTGCACAGTCCGGGGCGGCCCCGCTCCGCGCGGCCTACGGGACTCGGGGCCGTTGGGCTCCACTGCACGTGCAGGCGCAGGTCGTCGTTGCAACTGTCGCCCGGCAGGAAGGCGACGCCGGCCGCGGTCAGCGTCCCACTGCCGGCCCGCAGAAAGGGGGTGAAGATGCCCCCGTGGCACAGCACAAGACCCGGGCTGCGGCTCAGGATCACCCCGCTGCAGCTCCACGAGCCCGCCTCGGGCTGCCCGGCCCGGGAGGCACTCACCACGCAGCCCGCCTGCTCGGCTACCTTCATGGCGGGCCCCCACTGTCGCCCCATGCCTCCAGGACGGTACGCCCGGGGTCCCGGAGAACTGGGGAGCTAGCGAGAACCCCAACCACCGCCTGCGGACCCCACACAACGCCACCCACAGCGGGAGCGAGAGGCGCAATCGCTCCTCCGGTCTTCCTCGTCCGGCGCGATTGGCTAAGCCCGACTGGCCCGGCGGGATTGGCTGGACCTGCCACGCCCTGATTGGCTGCTGAGGCTGACCCCTCCTTTCTCCTCCTCTGTTAGTCATGCCACCTGGGCGGCGTAGGGGGCGCAACAGTCCCGGAAGGTGAGCCAAAAGGACAGTGGCCGGCCAGCAGCTTGACCGGGAGATTGGGGGAGGGGCAGGACGAGGATTCTTAGGAGCCTTCGTCTCCTCTCTGTTCTTTGGGCTGCAGAAAAAGGAATAGAAACGAGCGCTGACGTGGCTAGGCTTACCTAGGGCATGACAGCACCTGTCAGCGCCTGCCTAGGTCCGGGCAACGTTCGACCTCTGACGGGATAAGGCAAAGAAATCCTTGGCCATTTAAATGTTTTTAAATTTTGTTAAGTAAACCCTACAGCAATCCACTAGGGGGCATGGCTCACAAGATTACACCTCGGGTCTTTTGATGCCAAAGCCTAACACTACAAATCCCATGAAAACTGAATTTGCTAAGAATAAAATTGCCATTTAAAATGGGCTATGAACAGTAGTTGAAGTTAATATTTTGCAGTATGCACATTTCACATAATAACCTCCCTCCACCCCCCCACCCCGGATTTATCTAGGTCAGGGGCCAAATGCTTTTTCTGTAAAGAGCCAGGGTATAGTTGTTTTTATAGGCCATACATTGCCTCAAATACTCAGCTCTGCAGTTGTTGCATGCAAAAGCCAAAGGAATAGGGTGGCAGTTTCAACAAAACTTTACGGACACTAAAATTTGAATTCCATGTGATTGTCATGTCATAAAATAACTTTTTCCCCCTCATAGGCCATAAACAGGCAGCAAGCCAGATTTAGTTCAGGAGCTATAGTTTGCCATCCTTGATCTAAGCAAACACAAAATATCCCTGCTTTTCCAAAATTAGTATCCTTGAGGATAGAAGAACATGAATAAGTGTTTTGGGGGTGGTTCAGAACACACCCAAAGCAGTCACCACAAACTAGACATTTATCACTGTATCACTAAAATACACATTTTTAATAAGATTATTTTTGTACATATTTGTCAGCATTGATGAAAAATATTCAACTACTAAAATACTACTTCTGTGCCTCAAATTTTTGAATAAAATTAATGCTGGTTGATTTATCCCCAGTACAACACAGGGTAATGCTCACAGTGTTCCCAGTAACAAAGCTGTTTGAGAAAGGGAAACAGTGATCCAGTTTAGTACGAGGCAGGACTGAAATTAGCAGTCTTCCCGTAGCAAGCACTAGTTTTGTTTTGGTTCTGTGACACACATAGCTTGAGCACAGTAGAATCTCTCAACTATCCCAACTTCCTAGCAATTAAAGACTCTAGTCCTGTGATTCTCCCTTAATGATGCTTAAGCCTCCAGCATGTTACATGTCAGGTTTTCCTATATTTATGGCACATCACAGTACAGAGTCCCCAGTCACAGCCAACAGCCAAGATGAGACCCCCTCGAATATTTGGGCCCAATGACTCAGTCTTTAATTCTCATGTTCTACTCCAACTCTAACACAAACACATGTGAACATAGAACCCATGGCCTCCTGTCATAGTAACATGGATATTAGTTTCAATCACAGGATGCCTCCAGGAATTTTAATATTCAGTAAAAAAGAACCTGTTGCATTTTGCTTCCCATTCTATTCACCCAGGTACTTTGGTTTTAGAATCTCCTTTGGGACTTTCTAAAAGCAGGTCTTCCTACAAGTGTAGTAAATGCACGAGCACAGGTTTCATTCCTTCTATTTTACCAAATGTAGCATTCAACTGGCTCTCTCCCATTTTGTATAAAATTATGAAACACAGCTAAAGATGGATCCAGTCCTTCCTAGCATATTAATATAAGATTTTGTTCAAGTCTGCCCTATCCTGTCACAGTAACGACCGCCAATCCTCGGACCGAGGCTCTCAAACAGTACTAAAGTTACTATTTATAGTGGATGTGTAATTGGCTTAGCCTTTTTTCCTCGGTAGCAAAATTTAAGTCTCTCACATCCATTGGATGTATTTCTTCCCATAAGTAGGAAAGAATTTTTGCCTTCCCCAGCACAACAAATGCCATGATATGTTCAAACTCAGAACCAATGCCAAAAAATAGCAAGATGACAAGTTTGTTTTAACTTTTTATTAAAATGCTTAGGTTACAGATTGAGTTTCTTTTGTAAATGACTGTTTTACTTTTCCTGAAATAGGACATATATGNTTCCCCAGCACAACAAATGCCATGATATGTTCAAACTCAGAACCAATGCCAAAAAATAGCAAGATGACAAGTTTGTTTTAACTTTTTATTAAAATGCTTAGGTTACAGATTGAGTTTCTTTTGTAAATGACTGTTTTTTACTTTTCCTGAAATAGGACATATATACACTCTGATAAAACAGAATGAAAAGTCTCAATTGATGGGAGTTCCTGTAATAGCTCTGATCCTCACTATTAGCAGCCAAGCTCCTCACAGCTGCTTCTTTCTGCTATTATTACAGGAACAGTGTTTTATGTGGGGCAAGAAATAAGACTGGTGCCGCTTGACTTTTCAATCCCCTCTTTCTCCAGTGGCGAAAATAAGCCACTTTCACAAAGAGCTGCCCTGTGCAGAATCCGTAGTTTTCCAGCTTGCTACAAAGTGACTGGGGAGACAGGGAAGAGAAAAACAAGAAAACTAACACTGAAGCAGTCACACTTCTCATGTCTCTGGACAGAGAGTGTGGATTACCTTTAGCCAAAGGAAATTAAAAGTATGAAGTTAACTAATTCACCATTAGATCTGTTCACTTAAGGCTTTAACCCCTTTCCAAACCAACAACTACCTAATCCGGCTATGCCTGCTCATAAACGAAAGTCATGCTCATCCCAGACTTACACTCCACCGAGCCTCTGCATTTGGTACCTGGCAGTGAAAAATATGCTTTCCTAATAGTACTGAAGACATTCCTAACAATGAGAAATCCAACTAAAGAATAAGAGACTCTCACCCCAAATATGTGCTATCCACATTTTCCCTACCCTCACATTAGAAGCAAGAATCCACTGAATTCAATCCTCTGCATATTGGCATCCATCATCATCACAATTGTTTTCAATTTTGAGGAAACTACCCCTAATTTTTCATTAAAGGAAAAATGAATGAAGATATTCTCCCATCTTAAGACCACCTCCCATCTCATCATCTTTCACTGCAAGGGTAGAAAATTGGTTAAGATGATGAAAATCGAATTTCACACATGGCATTAAGAAAATGGAAAGCTATAAAAATAATCCTCATCACACTGCTGGGGATGTGGTGGCTTTTATACTCAGTGCTTACTGACAAGTGACACTGGCAAAACAGATAGCTCTATACAAAAAGTTCTTGGATTAGAGTTTCCCCAACTTACTTCTGGAATGGAGAAAGGCAATTCCATACCAAAAAACACACAAAAACTCTGGAAAAGATACAGATGTTAACCTTTAAACACCAAAAAAATTGATAACTGATTTTTAAAAAAGCTTATGAACAGTCCAATCAGAGACCAAATTCTGCAAGTGGAAAATTTAAAGTCCACTGAGTAAATCTTTTCCAGATTCAACCAGTTGCTACAATACCAGATTTTTAAGTTCTTAAACCACAGAATTAAGAGCCCTTAAGCTGTTAACTTTGTCCTGTGTGACTCTCCTATTCAGAAAAATCCCCCTTAAAATCTGTACAAAAGCAACTGACACACAGGCAGTATATGACAGCATGAGAGATGTTCTCAACTCTTTTATGAGGCAAAAGTTGCTTTTTGTAACTGAAAATGAAAAAGGTGCTACAAAGAGAAATGAAATTTCACAATAGTTAAAAGCAAAGACTGGTTGAAATTTGTAACTTTTAAAATAATAACAATAACCCATTCTATAATGAACTCCTCTGCAGTGAGCAATCTGCTATACACTCTGTGATGAGGAACAGCCCTAGCTTGCCACAGTGGAAACCTGCTGCAACTGTGAGGCCAGGTTCTGCCCTTTCCTAGTCCTCTGTGCACAAGGTGATGCCACCTACTACAAACAAGGCAGTCAGACAGGCAGGGTAGCTTCTCTCACCAACCTGCTAACTCAACAGGGGTAAGTTCACTTGATTGAGCTCTGGCCTCCAACATGTATCTGTGCATAATTTTATGAAGTATCTAAATGCCACTCACTAGATTAAAAAAAAAAAAAAAAAAAAGGAATAGAAAACTCTGGACCAAGTAAATTGTAAACTCAAAAAGTTAGAAGGGAAACCAATTACATAAACAACACTTTCTTTAAAAAATAGAATCACTTTCTTTTGAAATCAACCACAGTGGTGAGACGTGTTTTTCTGTTCAGGTGCCCCATGATGGCACACAGCTTTACCCGGCAAATCCTGCCAGCTTCCAAGTCCTAGGATGCTGACCTGCACCAGCACATGGGGCAGCGTGACCTCCTGACAGTGTGGAGAAGAGCACATGTCACCACTGGGCAAAGAGAGCTGACAGAGACTCTTGGCTTCTCAGCGCCAGACATGGTTGTGGAGAGCTTTCCTGGTTCTATTAGAAAAGTTCATGAGGAAGCTGTGAATAGGATCAGTCCAGAGAAGTAAAACTCTTTTATTTTCACTGTCCAAACATCAGTCAATATACTGGGACAGCCAGCGGAAGCCCTCGCCGTAGCCTTGTCTCTTGAGCACGCTGCACATGAACACTTCCATGGGGCGGGCATTCAGCTCCTTCAGGGTCACATTCCCCTAAGGGAGACAAAATCCAGAAAGCCCTATTAGCACCTTCATGGTAGAAAAGTTTGAAAGGGTGATCACAAAAACCACTTTCTCCATTCCTCAAAAGCAAATCTAAGGAGGGATTAATTATAAAAATGTGGTCAAGGCCATACAGATGACTTCCCCAGGGCTTCATACATTCAGGATAGAGTAAGCAGCAAAGTCCTCCTATTCCCAGCCTCTCTCTGTGAAGAGCATTTGCTTTGAACACACCAACATTCATTGGCCAGCTATGGCAGCAAACCAAGAAGAAGGCCACTGGGACCCACAGAACCAGCATGCTCACTGATGGACAAGAGAAGTCTGAGACTTTTTAGAAATAACGATATTTTAGTTAATGCAAACATTCAGAAATATACATTAATAACAGGTTACACTGACGAAATTAAGAATTCATGTGTGTATGACACTCATGCAAGAGGGGAAACTAAAATTAAAGGAAGTATTTCTGGAAAGAAATAGATAACCAAGAGGCAAGACTAAGGAACCATGTAAAAAAGTAATTATAGATCCCAGAAAAGGAAAATTTCAAAAATTAAATATGCCAAAGCCCTGAGCTGAAAAGACCAGGATTCCTGCTTAATGATAGCTGATTTAAATGTTCTCTCACAAGCATACTTTTCTCCTTTGAACTGGAAACAGCATAACCTACTGATCCAGACAACTTGGGTTTTACTCCTGTTTTGTACTGGCTTGCTGTGTAGAGCTGAATACATCACTGTCAGAATTTCATCTTCAAAATGGGGTAAGAATACAAGCTCCCTCAGCAAGGAGCACTGAGGATAACCCAGTACTGTGACTTCAATGCTTGGAAAGTGATTTATATAAATGACCACTCTTCTTCATAACCTGAAGTCTCCAGTAAAAAAAAAACAAACTGATTTCTGGCTAAAAAAGGCTCTTTCAAAAGAGATTTCTCAGAGTTGAATTTGAAAGATAGTCAAAAAATTTCTTAAAATGCTGTTTGCCTTTTGTACCATTTCCTTCACTCTCATGTATAACATTAAAAAACAGTTAAAAGATACCCAGCCGGGGGTGGCTCAGCGGTTGAGCACTGACCTAAGATCCAGGCGATCGGGGTTCGATTCCCAGTCAGGGCACATGCCCGGGTTGCGGGCTCGATCCCCAGTCAGGGGTGTGCAAGAGGCAGCCGATCAATGACTCTCTCATCATTGATGTTTCTATCTCTCCCTCTCCTTTCCTCTCTCTGAAATCAATAAAGATGGAAGGGAGGATGGAAGGATGGAAGGAAGGAAGAAGCAAGCTCCGGCTTTCAGAGAGTCTACAAATTACCTGTAATGAAACAAATCCTAAGCCCAGTTAAACTTTAGAAAGACAAATAAAATCTAGATAGCAAAGTATGGAAGTTTGTTTTTTGTTTTTTTTAAATATATCTTTATTGACTTCAGAGAGAGGAAAGGAGAGGGAGAGAGAGAGAGAGATAGAAACATCAATGATGAGAGAGTCATTGATCAAGCCTGCAACCCAGGCATGTGCCTGACCGGGAATCGAACCCCGATCACCTGGATCCCAGGTCGACACTCAACCGCTGAGCCACGCCCAGCCGGGCAACATGGAAGTTTTAAAAGCTGTGAGTTTCCTTTATAATGTACCCTGAAGATTTTTCTCTTACCTTCCCTGTGGTCTGTCCATAAAGTCCAAATATCTCACGGAGTTTTTCTTCGCTGATTGCATCTGCTCTGTCAATTTTGTTACCCAAGATAAGGATTGGCACATTGGATATTGTTTCATCAGTCATTAAAGCCTGAAAACAAGATAAAAAAAAGTGAGGAATCTATGAAAGCCCACCAGATAATGAAAATCTCTTTGACTTCCACTTGTCTATAAGGTATCAAATGTAAAATGGAAATCTAACCATCTTTACACCTGCATGATTAACTCAAAAGTTAATTCTGGACATTACATAGAACGCTCTTAATATTAGATACAAAGCCCCTAAAAATACTTTGACATTAGGCAAAAATCCCCAAATGCCTTCAAAACAATGGCAACTTAAGGCTCTCTATTTATGAGGCAGCTGACCTGCCCCCAACCTTAACTCTGAGCTAAGCCACTCACTCACAGACCATCCTCAGGCTATCCACTGAGCAGTCCTGGAAGCATGAATGCTCTGGCTAGAGAGCCTCAAAAATGACTACAGAAACTCCCCAAGTATTCACTGGGTGCCGATGAGTGCAAAATGCTATCTTGGGTACTGACAGGGATACAAAAGGAGGGGTAAGACACGTCCCTAGCCTCAAGAAATCCTCACTCTATGTTCACACATCTGTCAACAAAGCAAGTGCATGACTGTCACAAGGAATGAGGACAGAATATAAATATTAAAAGACAATCAGGCAAATAAAATGCCGATGTGGGTATAAGGAAAAGTCTGAGCAAAAATGTACAACCTAAACTGGGCTCTGAAATAGGGAACAGATCTGGAAAGGTAGAAAAGAGGAAGAATATAAGCAATGGCTTTATAGTAGGGAAAGAATTCAGGAAGCTGCATGGAATAACATCTGTCTGAATTAATGCATTTATGGTGACATGCAGTGACAGAGTAAATGGGATAGCAAGGGATAACCAGCATTATAGTTCCAGTCTGAGAGGTTAGCTACAATAGACCCTAAAGACCCCAAATCTAGAAGTTTCAGGACAGAATCTATATACTTTTTAGTACAATGAATTCACAAACAGTATCTATCTATAGTGCTCAGGTAAGAGATGATGATCCAGCCTAAGATGGCAGCATATGATGAATAGTGCTGCAGGCATTTTGGAGTAAAGAGGTAAAGAGACTGAAGTTTAAATAATAACAGACAAAAGAGGAGCCAAAGCTGGCATAGATTTCAAGACTGGGTGAGCTGGTTCTGGTACCAATTCCAATGTGAAGGGAGGTTCCCCAGCCAACAAGCAATTCTCAGGACTCCAGCTGGGTGTCCTACAATTCAACTCAATTCTGATACTATCTATCTGAAGATAAACATCAGATTCTACAGGTTAAGGGTTTAGTCCTACAAGACTCCTGCCCCTCTTCAGACACCAGTACCAAGTCCAGGTTATCACTTGTACTTCTGACCAACTGGGTAAAAATCAGAGGTTCCCATAACCCCCTCCTTGGGTTTAATTGTTAGAATGACTAGATTACTGGTTTACTATAAAAGGCTACAACTCCGGCAACAGCCAGATAAAAGAGATGCATAGGGAAGGTATGGGGAAAAGGCATGGAGCATCCATGCCCTCTCCAGGCATACCATTCTCCCCAAACCTCCCAACCCAGAAGCTCTCTGAATGCTGTTTTTTTGGTTTTTATAGAAGCTTTATTACATAGTCATGATTGATTAAATCCTTGGCCACTGGCAATTAATTCAACCTCCAGCCCCTCTCCTCCCTGGGGGTCAGGGGATGGGGTTGAAAGTTCCAATCTCTACTAGCTGGGTCTCCTGGCAACCTCACCCTTAGAAGAGGTCTAAAAGCTACCTCATTAACATAACAAAAGACAACTATGTGGCTCCCCACGCTTAGGAAATTCCAGGAACTGTGTGCCAGGAACTATGGATGAAGACCAAATATATATTTCTCATAAATTACAATGCTGCACTGGGAATCTAGTTCTCACTAACAGGAAAAGCAGGAAAGCCTAGAGTTGGATGGATAAAGGGGAACATACTTTAACCATCTTAAGTTCTAGGAAATGACAAAATAGAGTAAGGAAGTCATTCATGCTAACAAAGTGCCTAAGGTCCGATGTTTTGCTAGGTATAGAAGTTTCATTTAGCAAAGAAGACAGACAATGTCCCTACCATTTAAGATCGTAGTCTGGTGGGAGAGACCTATTAAAAAAAAACAGTAAAGACAAAAGACACTGATGAGGTGGAGAGTCCAACAATCTGAGAAAAGGAGGATTCCTAGAAGTGGTCATGCCTGAACTCTAAATTCTCTTAAAGGACATTTTCAAATTTACCAGCAAAAGGGGGTAGGGGGTCAGGTGAGAAAGCCAGGCAGGGATAGCCACTTCTGCATACTCAAAGAAGGGCAAATTGTTCTCTATGTTTGAAATGTAATTTAAAGTAAGCAATAGAAAAGGTGGAGAAATATACAGAGGCATGCTCTTGAGAGAGTTTATGTGCTAAGCAGAGCTGTGGATTTTACCCTGAAGATGACAGAGACCTATTAATGGGTGACAGAGACCTAAGTAAGGCAATGACAAGTCTGAGAAAGTTCCTTCTAGCATTATTACAGTGTATGGCAGGGTGGTGGTGAAATCTACAGTAATTCACATGGTGGGGAAGATAAAAAGTTCCATTTTGGGAGAACAGAATTGGTAGGTGGAGTTGTCCAGTAGGCAGCATTATGTATGAGGCTGGAGCTGAACAGAGGTATGGACAAGAGAAGTCCATTTGGGAGTCACTGTGGCAGAAGAAGGAATGGAATAGCCTGGACCAGCCTAGGAGAAAGTATAGACCCTGAGGAAATAACAAGATTAAAGGGTGATGCAGAGGAGTAAGTATTTGGGGAAGAGTCTGAGAAGTATCAACCAGAGAGAGAACACCAAAGCCAAGAATGTAAAGAGGAGTTTAAAAAGAGAGAATGGCCAGTGCCAAGGGGTCAAGTAAGAGGACTGCCCTGTAGGTGATTCTACATGAGCCAAGAATACAGATTTGAGAAACATACTTACAAATAAACTTGAGACACATTCAAATTGCCAGGAACAAGAATGCAAAGAGACAATTATAAATCCAAGAGAAAGAAGAGGCACAGAGCGAAGCAGTGAAGGTAACAAAGGCAACACTATAGAAATTGTCAAGCCAAGAAAATGCACTGTTGAGAAAGGAGAAAATCTGAAGTGAGTCCTTGATAGTGCTGCACCCTGCACGTGACCAAAACTGAAGACTGAGAACAGATTCTTAAGGTCTGGCAAGTAATTCAGTGCAAGGGTGTGTAGGCACAACCTGAGAAAGCAGATTCAAAATGTAAAGGACTCTAATCTCTTTAAAGGTGTCACTATGCCAACACTTCATAAAGAGTGACCATACATGATATGTGAAAGGGAAAGAAGTTAATTATGCTGAGACAACAGGTATAAACTGGGGAGCGTCTTGTGCAAACTGGACACAGAGTCACCCTATAATAGACATAAACAAAGTTAATTTACTCAAGTTCAAGCTGAGTTTCCTTAAGACACTGAAAAGCAACGTTGTAGGTTTCAAAACACTTTCTTCTCCTAACTAGGACCTTTATTAAATGTAAACTGGAATGATCACGTATTGGCACTACTGAGCTGTATTCCTTAAAAGAAATATAGGCCAAGGATAAAAATATAAACATACATTAAGTTCAACTTTGGATTCCATGAGGCGAGGATGATCCGCACAATCCACCAAAAAGACAATCCCATTAATTGCTGGGAGATAATTTTTCCAAACCCGACGTGCTAAAAGAAAAAGTTCATAGTTGCATCAATAAAAAAAAAAAATCCATTTTGAATAATGGTCATATCTTGGCCAGATTTCAATAGCATTAAACTCCGTATGATTTTTCAACTCCTAGCCATTATTAAAAGTCAGAACAGAAGGTATGAACTGGTGGTCCATGAAACTGAATGATTTTTTAAAACTCAAAAACCAGGGGTTTTTGCCTGATTTTCTCCAAAACTGCAACACTTGTCAATCCCATGCCTACCTACCCACATGCCCCTTTGGATGAGATCTGGGCTGTTCAGTCTATCAAAGTTCCTACCACTCCCTACTGTCTTATACCCAGTCAATATGACTCAATTAAATCACATACTTTGCCCTTGGAGCCATGTTAGTTTGCAACCATTCAGTTAAAATATCATGATGCCAATTACTTGTCCATATTAACTTTAGTCCTAAGTTAGTTCCTAACCAACTGATGTGTAAGCGTACTGACACACTCATCCACTCAGCCGTCAGGGAGGCTGGGCTGACAGGTGGTTCACATACCCAGGCCAATCACCTGTTTCCCATATTCAACCAAGTGTGCCCTATAATTTTTCTTTGTCTGTGATATGAAGTGATAATGGTTTAGGAAGCAATGCTTTGCTTGTATTATAATTTCTAAGTCATTCATTTCTAATTCTTTCAATGAGATAACTAAGGAAGCATATCTACATTAAACAGTTAATAAGGTCACCTCTAAAGTGGGACTGGGAAGAAGAGTTTGGGGAAACTTTCACTTTTACCTCCTACCATATTTGTATACTGACTGTATACTGAATTTGTTACACTGAGTCTAGATTTTTATAATAGTTAGATATATATATAACTATATATATATATATAGAGAGAGAGAGTTAGATATATATATTAAAAAATATACACACACACACACAAAAAGGGAACTTCCAAACGTACAGTATTTTAGTAACTTCTGTGTAACAGTGGCTAGGCTATTATGAAAAACTGTTTCTTTTAAGTAAATTTTCCTCAAACTAACCTATATACATGAACACATTTCCCTTCTTACTCTATCAAAATCTGAAGGCTAAATTATTACACCAAATAATACATAATTCCCAGTTAGATGTCTAAAAACACCTATTGCTCTGCATTCTCCAAATGGCCTCAGTTCAGCTTATAACTGTATTACCTCGGAATTTAAATTTGTAAGCAGTTACAAATCTTTTTGAAAGAAGAAAAGAAACTATATACCCTTTCCTACCCAAATGAAAATACTGTAAGATCATTATAGAAAAACAAGAAAAAAGATAATCTAGAATCCTCCATCAAAACACACACACTGCTAATGTTCTTGTCTATTGTCTTTCAATATTTTTTTCTGTACAGATATTTTATATAATTGTGATCTTACTACACATATGATTTGGAAGCATATAAATATTAAGTACATAAAATAAATGTAATTATATGCTACTGAAATCACTGACTATAAAATTATTTGGATCACTTCCCAGTCTTTTGGCTAAAATTTTTTTGGCTGAATGATTAGTTACCAATATTCTTTTTTTTTTTCCTCAATGTTTTGTTAATCCTCACCCAAGAATATTTTTCCATTTATTTTTAGAGAGACTAAAAGGGGTATGAGGGGTGGGGGGATTGATGTGAGAGAGACACATTGATTGACTGCCTCCAACACACGACCCAACCGGGACTGAGGATAGAACCTGCAACCCAGATACATGCCCTTGACTGGGGATGGAACTCAAGACCTTTCAGTGCTTGGGCCAATGCTCTAACCACTGAGAACACCAGCCAGGGTCCAATATTCTATTTTTTAACTAAACTTTAAAAACCTGTTATCAGAGTCTACCTAACATAATGCTCCAAAAGGAAAACTTCTCAACTCAATTTAATAACAAGTGAATAAATCTGAAAGAATCCCAGTAGGTTCTTTCTACCTTCCCAGAATATTTATTCCCACATCTTAAATGTTTTACTCCTAAGACCTGAGTTTTACCAAATGTAAAGCGAGTGTGCATCAGATAAAAATGGCCCATTCTGTATATCTCTAAAACACATATAAGACACCTGATAGGAATCTGGGAACCAGACAGACACAGCCTGAGTAAGGCAAAATGCACTGAGAACAAGTAGAACAAAATGTTCCACAAACTGACCCAAATGGGGTAGAGTAAGTTTGTGGAACAAAATATCAATTTAGATCAGCATGATCCCAAGTAGTCATTGCATTATTTTTACAATTTTGACAAGCTTGAAATTACTTACAAAGAATAATTTAATTTCCTATATACTAACACTCCACTGAAAAAAGGATAAAAAGAGACACAATTAAATTTGATGTGATACTGCATTGGATCATGTTTTAAAAGGAAAAATGCTATAAAGGAGATTACGGGGACAACTGACCAAAAAAAAAAAAAAATGAATACACACTACAGAGTAGATAAAAATAAAACTTCCTGGGTTTGATAACTATTAAGATCATATACGGGAATATTCTTGTTCTTAGAAAATATACATTAAATATTAAGGAATAAAAGACCATGATGGACTCACAAACGATTCAAGAAAAATAAATATTAATATGTATTATATAAAGAGGGAGACTAATAAATGTGGACAAAAGGTATGAAGAAGTGGACTTCTCTATTATTTATGAAACTTTTCACAATTTGGAAATTACTTCAAAATAGTAAGTGAATAAACCAACTTCATTAAAATAAGATCAATCCTAAATGCAAGCAATTTAAAAGGTAAAAATGACAAACTGCTTTAAAAAAAAGAGGGGTACAAAATAAACCACAAGTCAATACCATCCTTCCAATGAACCTTTTCTTACCTTGCTCATGCCCACCAAGATCAAAAGTTGTAAAAGTCATTCCAGCAATCGTCAGCTCCTCTGATGCTGAAAAATTGTCAAAAAAGAGGAAAGAAATAAACTTCTCCATCCAAGCACCCCAGCCACATGAGTATTGTAAGCCAATATAAATGCAAAACTTAATAAAGCTTTCACCTTGTAAAGAAAAGAATATAATTGTGAAAATACTCTTAAATTATTTTTAAAAGCCAAGTTTATTTTTTTCCAATGTGTCTGCTGCTTCTTGGAAGTAGATATGAGAGATGTGTCCTGTTACAGGGCCAGTGAGAACAGAGAGTGACAAAGTTCCAGAGGTTCAGACTTACGAGTATGTGACCTATTTGTCCTATAAGGAATTTTTTCAAGAGAGCTGTCTTTTGGGACCTCAGTTAAGAAAAGAACTACATCAATTGGGGATTCATCCTCCAGCCCTGACACTGACCTTTAAATACCAAAAGGTCACCTGGTATTTTCAAACCTACTTGGATGTAATGTTGGAACATGTTGGCCCAATCTGTCATCTTTTAGCATGTGTAGAAGAGTGGTTTTGCCTGCATTGTCCAAACCCAAGAATACAAGTTTCCCAGATTTCTTGTACAGTCCTAAAAGAGAAAAAAATTTTAACATAATTTTGCTCTCTGCATACCAAAGGCTGCTTGTATTTAAATCGTTGGAGGAAATGTAGAAAGTTTGAAACCTATGATATATTTCAAGGAAATTTGCTTTACCTAGGAACTGGAGCACACTGCTGAAGCCATTGTAGATCCACTCAAAGATGAAAGACATTATTAATGCTTACTACCTGTATAAAATAAGAAAACAGCAAACATTAGCTTTCTGAATGCTATATAGTTCTGGAGAAGTTAACTTTTATTCCCGGGCCCTGATGCATGTTTACAGTCCCATGTTTTGGGGCATAAGAAAACAAAGGATTTTGCACCCTGTAGGGAAGTCTCTGGGATCTTTTGATCTGCACAAACTCCTGACTTTTAAGTTTTCAACCTACAACACTCAGAAGACTAGGAACTGAAGATATACCTTCCTCTTTTACTATTACTTACTCCTCCAGGAAGCTGCTCATTCACATTCTCTAGATATACCGCCGCTGTCTACCAGTTAACAAATTCTCTAGGAAATCAGTCCCATCAATCATCTGTAGCAAAATTTCACATCAATTCATTAAGTAGAAAATAATGGGGGGGAAAGGTATATTAACCAGAATGAAAAGCTGCTTGTAAACTGCTCTTAAAAAACAGTCACAATTTGTCCTGCTGCATTTATCAATGCTATCTCTTCTTGTTTGTTTGCTTTTTTTTCTATCTCATTTTCATTTTCTTTTTGCTATCTCTTCTTAAACAATACTTGTTTAGCCCCTCTCAACTTATAGAAGAGGTGATACCACTATTTTGGAGAGAGCCATGAAGCAGTAAGAAGATAATCCTTTCATAATGTGAATAATCAAGACCTAACCACTGTACAAATACAGATTTTCTTAAAATAAGAATACTCATTCAGGATACTGTGGAAGGTTCCCAGCCAAGCACATACCTTAATTTTTCTACTGTTTCCCAAAGGCCTAGACAAAACAAAAGATGATCCAAAGCTACAAAAAGGTCTACACACATTGGTAATAAGCAAGAGGAACTGTGAAAGAAGTTAAGAAAGGAGGATCTAAAGCCAATGGCAGGTGGTAAGGTTTCTCATTGAGTCAGCATTTCCTGGTCACACTGAACTTTGCCTCATTATTGCAGATTTGGTGATGAGAAAGATCCCACATTTTCAATCCTGTCCATCATCAAGAGCATCTGAACACAATAGTTTATACTACTAGATGTGACCAACTGCTTTCAAATAAAACTTTCATGAAGCTTTGTTGTTTCAAAAAAGTAAAAGTTTAGTGGTGTTACTTTTACTAGTAACTTGGTAAAAAGGTTATCCATAAAAACCTACCTATATTCTTCAAAGAATGCTAGATGAAGAAGAAATTGGAAAATGGAGACAATGTATGTTATTTTCTTTTTCATTCAATTACTGGTTTTTGTGTTTGTTTTTTATCAGGCCTGTGACCTCAACTATAAACTTTAGGGGCTGCTTAATGCTTATTTTCTCTGGCTCTTACATGGAAGGCCAAATGAAGGGCAGGAGTTTGAGAGTGAGACTAAAGGCAAAAACTTTTATAAAAAGATACTAAATAAAGGGTTTTTTCCTTTCAGTAACATCAAAATATATTTTGGCAGAAAGAATAAATTTAGCATGTTAAATAACAATTCTGACTGGAAACCTGTCTTGCGCTTTAAGAAGTCCAGAGACTTAGTACACTTACAAAGTTCCTGTGCTTAACTTCCCACGATAGGTAAGGAAGAGAACAATGGCCACGTCTGTGCAACCCCACAAACCAGCCATCCAACCTTCCCTACTTTCCTCAGTCTACCACGTGGAGAAGTGCAGATCACCTTTAGAAAGCGCCTGTCATTTAGGTCACTTCCACCCTGATCCCTCCCTTAAAACCCAACACATGCATTCATTTGCACTACAATGGTTTGCAGTCAGTACTTTACAGACTCTTTGTAAAGTTTTATCACATCGTTTTTTTAGAAGTACTCCAGCTAGACAAATTCTCGGAAGGTGACAAGGGGAAAACCCCATTTTAAGGAAGTTTTCATTTTAAATGAACTACTTTGATTTTCCAATTTATTTTCCCTTGACATAATCTGAGTTAAGCATCCTATAATTCTTCCCATCAGAATGATCTATGAAGAGTGAAGAAACTCTTCAGGCGATGTTAAAAAAATTAAAAAAACTCTTATTGGACACAAAGAGTTGTGCTGCATTACTACCCTAATTTCATGGCACCCCCATTCCTGAGGTCTTAGGATCTGTATCCCTTTCTAAGTAGTTACACAGTTAATGCAGTGCCTGCACATACATCTCATTTCAATCTCACACCAACCTTACTGGGAAGGAATCCTTGGCCTCCCTTAACATAATGAAGATGCCGACACTCCTAGGTTAGCCAGCTTAACAAAGACTGCTCAGCTGGAAAAGTAACAGTGCAAGAAAAATAACAGTGCCTTCCTCCTTCAATACCAAAGTCACAGCTCTTCCTGTTAATATTACACAAAATTCAAATCAAAATTGCAAAACTGCTTTTAAGAAAACATCAAACTTCCTTAACCCATCAGCTACACTCAGGATAATCTTCTAAAGCTTTCTTCCTTACAATACATCACACCTTCTGAATGGTATGTTAACTAGCATTGATCTATCCCTGATTCACTCTACCACCTTCTGGCATCTTATGGCAATTAGAGTAGTCTACAATTTAAGGGCTCTGAACTACCAACAAAAGCACTGCCAAAGTACACCGAACTAAAATGTGCAAATTTCAAGACTGATTGATCAAATCAATAAAAAGGAAAAGCACTAGGGTGCGCATTAGCCAATAAAGAGTCAATGCATCACTTCCTATACATACTCATTACTTCTACATATACTCAGAGCAACTTTGAGACACCATTCCAAACAGATCAGGGGTACCAGGCAAGCCGGCTTTTAGCTAAGAAATCTGCTTAGCTACAGGGTGTATGTGTCAAAGGCCGGACCCATTGCAAAGCTCCACAAGCCCCTGTTACAATCTAAGCAGATGGATCAAGGTGAAGGTGAAAAGACAAGAGCAAGAGAGAATACTAACGAGACAACTTGGTGTCCACGCTCACTTGAGTGCTCCTGACCGCTCGGCTACAATCATGAGCTAAACAATCTATATACCAAACGAACATGAAGAAAGTTTGCCATGAAATGAAGACAGAGGAGATAAAAGAAGGAGACAGAAGGGGAAAATATGGGTTCGACCAAGGACATCAGATGATAGCAGAGCTTAAGTGTGAGGGGGGTGGGGAGCCCGGGACTAGGAGGCAGGAGAACTGGTTCCAACGCTTACACTTGCTATCTCTGGGGCCTTGGCCAATTCACTGTGCCTCGGCGAGCCTTAGTCCCCGAGTCTGTAAAACAAGGGTAATCGTCAAGGTCTCTCACCCGCCTCACCGAGGGCTCTAATGGAAGCCTCATCTGAGACAGGGGATGTGAAGCTGTTTCGTAAACCAGAGCGCACAGTACAGACAAGAAAACTGTTATCCCGCCCAGCAGCTACAAGACCCCCGATACCCCGGAGGCAGGCGCGGGACCGTGCGGACCCGGCCGGGTCGGCCCATCCCCGCCCAGAACCAGTCCCGCGGCTCCACAGAACCGCCTGCGTGTCACTTCCCCCCCCACACCCCGCCTGCGCCGGCCTCCGCCCCGACCCTTCTGCCGCCCACCCCAGCCTGTACGGCCCCGGCTCCCTCCCTCAAGGCGGCAGCCAGACATACGGCCCAACGGGCTCCTCCGGCGGCGGCGGGCGGCTTCGACCCTCCTCTGAGCGCACAGCCCAGCAGCACCCGGGACCGCCAGCAACTCGCCGGATATACGTAACACCTCTCCCCCGGGACTTCCGGGCGCGTGCTTGCCCCGCCCCTTCGCGCGTCACGGAGCTCTGCAACCGCGGGGCGCCCTACGAGCGACTCCAGCGGCGGAGGGGCGGGCCTGGGGCGGGGCGAGAGCGCTCGGGGGCGGGCCCGACCTGGCCACGCCTCCTCCCTTACGGATCGCAGGACGCGCGAGACGTGGCAGCGCCGCGGCCCGGATCTGCAAGCTGCTCACCAGCTGGGAAGCCCTGGGCGAGCTGACAAGCGCCGCAGGCCCCGGTGTGCCCGCCTCTAAGGTGGGTGAAGGGGGCATTGTTGGGCATGTTGCCAGTTTTTCTAGAGTGTGTTTTCAATAAATGTTTTGACTATGTCCTTAATAAGTAAATAATAGGACTGGGACAATTGGGTAGTCAAAAAACCTAAAAGGTGAATTTATAAATCACATACTATACCAAGTAAGTTCCAAGTGATTCAAAGATTTGTATGTTTTCAAATGACACCATAAAAGTATTAAACAAATGGAAGGAAACATGAATGAATTCCTTATAATATTGGAATGCAGAAACCTTTCTGGTTCTGATTGAAAATCCAGAAGCCATAAAAGATTGATAAATGTAACTACAGAAAAATAGAAAACTTTTATATTAAAACAACAACAGTGATGCCACCATAATACTCAACAGATAACAAGTTGAGAAAAAATATATGTAATCGCATCCAAGGCAAGTGAAGAATTAATGTGAAAAAGACTAATTGTTGTTAGAAAAATAAGCAAAGGTTAGGACCAGACAATTCACAGGAAAGGAAATGTAAATGGCTCTTAAACACAATAAACTAATAATAGAAATATAGTAGGTATTATAGATTACAGAATGGGGCAAACGTAAATTTATAGTTATGAGTACTCGAAACACAGTTCGTTTGTTTTTTAAGTGTTCCTTTTTTTTTTTTATATATATCTTTATTGATTTTAGAGAGAGGAAAGGAGAGGGAGAGACAAACAGACAGAAACATCAGTGAGAGAGAGTCATTGATCGGCTGCAGCCCGCAACCCGGGCATGTGCCCTGACTGGGAATCGAACCCTGATCACTTGGATCCTAGGTCGATGCTCAACCGCTGAGCCACACCCGGCCGGGCCACAGTTTGTTCTTTATTATTATTTATTAATCATTGTATTCTCCATATGAACAGCTGTAAGCCTACTTTTGCCCCACCCTGTATATAGATATAGAAAATAATAAAAGATAAATAAACTCACTGAGATACCATTTTCATTCATCAGGTTGGCAAAGTCCACCTGTTTATTGGTGACAAGGCTCTTTTAAATATAATAGTCAAGGAAGACCCCACAAAGGTGTCATTTGGACCAGACCTGAAGGACATCTGGGGGTAAAATGTTTCAGGCTGACAGCAGAGCACGTGCAAAGGCCCTGAGGCAGAAGTGTGCTTAAGAGGTCCTGGGAAGAGCTGGGAGGCCAGTGTAGCTGGGTAGGATAGTAAGGGGAAGAGTAACAGATGAGGTGAGAGAGGTGAGGGGGTAAGCAGTTAAGAACTGGGAAGGCTCTGAGATTTTACCTCACTTGCAAGCTAACAACTTAGTCTAATATACTTCCTTGGATACTGACAGAGATGCAAGACTCCTGGGGCAGAGAAAGAATTTCATTACCTTAAGCATGGCAAGTAACATGAGCTTCTTGTTTGTGTCTTTTCCATTTACCTCCCTCTCCACCCAAGTACTTCGGGGTGACACAGAGCAGCCCAGGTAAATGCTACCCATATAGTGGGTTTGCATCACAGCTGAGGAACCCAGAGCTTAGGAAACTCAAATCTTTCATAATGGACTGTAAGCAAAGCTGCCCAACCTTTGACCCAGAAGTAGACATCATTTCACCGGAAGGTAAACAAACCTGTCCCCAAGCCCCAGACAAAGAGTCTGCCTTCCAAGGCTGTTCCTAATATATATAAATATCCTTGGAAAGATAGTCCAAACAAAGGCAGTCTGTACTTCTGCTCGAAGAAAAGCAGAAATGGAAGAGATTGTGGAGAATTGTCGCTCAACAGGGGTAAAGCTTTAGAGCCTTGTAGGCCACTGTGAGGATTTTAGCTTTTTTATTGTGGGTGATCTGGAGAGCCACTAGAGGGTCTGAGCACAGGAATTTTATGTAATTCTTCTCCCCACTCTATTCTTATACCCCTACACATGCTCAACATTAGCTAGACATGCACTCAGAAATTAAAATNGTTCCTTTTTTTTTTTTTAATATATCTTTATTGATTTCAGAGAGAGGAAAGGAGAGGGAGAGCCTGAAAAGTAACTGTGTTGGTCAGCGTTCTCCAGAGAAACAGAACCAATAGGATCTTTACAGATACATACAAAAGGAAGTTTGCCCTGGCTGGTTTGGCTCAGTGGTTAGAATGTTGGCCTGAGGACTGAAGGATCCTGGGTTCGATTCCAGCCAAGGGCATGTGTCTTGGTTGCAGGCTTGATCCCCAGCCCTAGTTAGTGAGTGAGTGGGAGGTGGCCAATTGATGTGCTTCTCTCTCTCTCTTCCCCCTCCTCCCTTTCACTCTCTCTGAAAAGCAATAGAAAAAATATCCTTGGTGAAGATTAAAGAAAAAAATTTTTTTTAAGTATATAAGAGGAAATTTATTAAAGGGACTGGCTCACACAGTTATGGAGGCCAATAGGTCCCATGATCTGCTGTCTACAGGCTGGAGAACCAGGAAAGTCAGTGGTATAATTTAGTCCAAGTCCCAAGTCGAGAACTAGGAGGCTGCTGGTGTAAGTCCTGGAGTCAGAATGCCTGAGAATCAGAAGCTTTGATGTCCAAGGGCAGGAAAGATGGCTGTCTCAGCTCAAGAGAGAGAGAATTAGCCCTTCTTTTGTGTTTTTGTTCCATTTGGGCCCTCAACAGATTGGGTGATGCCCACCCACATTGATGAAGGTTGATGTCTTTACTCCGTCTCCTGAATCAAATGCTAATCTCTTCCAGAAACACCCTCACAAACACACCCAGAAATAATGTTTTACCAGTATCTTTGCTATAAGTGTGTTTGTAGTAGACATCTTTGCTGCAAGCATTTTTGCCACATTTTCACTGCATAATGGCTGTAAGGCAATTTTGCGGTAAGAAAGATAAAAATCACAGAAATAAAAGAAGAACATTAAAAAGGAGAGCAAAATTTAAGAGTCTTTCTTATAAAATACAAAATATTTGAATTCATTTAAAATGTGTATAGATTCATGTCAGTACTACACAAATAGCTGACTTTATTTTGTGGATTGTACCTAAGCACTTGTCTTATGGGAAATATGAATTCAACTCTGCATTCTCAGAAAAGGCCCTCAGGCTTTCTACTCCAAAGGTAGTGTTTCAAAATAAGACAACTCTTGGGGCAAATCATCATCATCTGGAAGAGTTGCTAACAATTTAAAACCACTACCACATCTACTTGTCACTGTGTAGACCATTATGAGGAACTAGCTAAGATTTATATGTAATATAAAAATGGGAGTAACTGTGAGAAGTTCGTCAATAGATAAATGAAACTAACTTGACAACTAGGTCAAATATGCTAAACCTGTTGGAGGTTGTTGATTCAGCAACCTAACGGAAATGAAACCTAACTGAAAACTGGCTTAATTAAATACATTAAATCTGCTGAAGTCAACTAATAAGTTAATGGAGAAATTAAACTAAACAAACAAAAAAACAAGCTGTCAATCATTTATTTTATCTTTTTGACAGCCAAATTGCCTCATGGCCAATTAGTTACATGGCTAAAATGTCTGTAGCGAAGATGCTATGGTGAAAGTACTGTAATGCTGTTGTAATAACCTCATTATTATTTAACAAGAAAGGAGGAAAGGGAAGACTAAATAATATAGGCATGCCATTTATACAGCTTTGCTAACTTAATACTCTCCAAGTCTGTTCCCCGATGGGGAAGGGACTGGACAAAGGCTGTTTAGACACGTGCCTGGTAAAGTCTGAGTGACATGGGAAGATGCTTACCTGTCTGTCACTCACACCTGGGAACAAATTAGTGGCCAGGATGGGCTTGGCCGCTGCAAGCACATGAAACCTGAATATTTAAACTTCCAGACAAAGAAGCACTCTCTCTTCTCTCTCTGGCACACCCAGTTCCTGGCTCTCCTGTTGCAGGGGCATTCTCCCCTGCACCCAGGTGGCCATGGCCATGTGGGACTCCACATACTGGGTTAATGGGCTTTAATTGGATGCTGAACTACACCCGCTGCAACATGGAACGGATCTACCTAATACATAGAAACAAACCCAAACAGGCAGCCAAAATGGGGGACAAAAAAGCCCTAAATGAAAGAACAAAAGAAGTCTCCAGGAAAAGAGCTAAATGAAATGGAGATAAGCAATCTATCAGATATAGAGTTTAGAATACTGATTGTAAGGATGATGAAAAGAGATAGGGATACTATGAAGGAGATTAAGAATGACAGAAGAAATAAAGAATACATTGGAAAGAATATAGAGCAGATTAGAGGAAGCTGAGGATCGGATTAGTGAATTAGAAGACAGGGTAGAAAAAAATCACTCATTCGGAAATCCAAAGAGAAAAAACAGAGATCCAAAAATTAAAAAACAGGAGGACAGTTTCAGAGAGCTGTGGGACAGCATGAAATGTAACAATATTTGCATTATAGGAATGCCAGAAGGGGAAGAGAAAAAGCAAGGCATAGACAATTTGTTTGAAGAAATAATGGCAGAAAACTTCCCTAACCTGGTCAAAGAAAAAGTCACACAAGTTCAGGAGGCACAGACAGTTCCAAGGAAGAAGAACCCAAAGAGGTCCACACCCAAACACATTATAATTAAAATGCCAAAAATTCAAGACAAAGAGAGAATATTAAAGGCAGCTAGAGAAAAGCAATCTGTTACCTACAAAGGAACTCCCATAAGGCTGTCAGCTGATTTTTCATCAAAAACTCTACAGGCATGAAGTATTCAAGGTAA